AAGGGGATCTTAACCCTTGACTTGGTGTTATCAGCACCGCACTCTCCCGAGTGAGCCATGGACCGGCCCCATTCAGTGATTTTTAAGTACAATGTCTGGCACATAGTAAGCACTTAGTAATGTTAGCTAATAATAACGATAACCATAATAGTAGTGAGGAGGGGAAGTCACACAATCAAATAACTGAAGGATGAGGGCAGCATGTGGTAAGAACCATACCAGAACACAGGTAACGGTCTCTGAGCACTTAGGGCTGGGTGTAGTCACCTCAGAAATTTTATTTCAGCCACCACTGGGAGCCTAGAACATACATTCACCTAGAGATGGTGCAAGAGGAGTGATGGACAAGGACTGCCACACAGTCCCAACCACCAGGAAAAGGCTTTTTCCTCCACTCTCAGCCACCTTCCAGAGCCTCTCTGCAGAAGGGAAAGAGGGCAGATAACAGCTTAGCAACTGGGGTCAAGGGAAGGGCAGGGAAAAGAGGGGAGTCTCAGGAGAAAGGAAGGCCTCTTTTTGCTCTCTGAAGAGTGCAGAGAGGGAGGAGTGGGTGCTGTTCTGGAACAAACCAGGTCCGTCTTGGTCCCTGGGAATTCTGTATATAAACAAGACTTAAGATCCATGGGGAAGGGGGATGGGACTCCATTCACCCCCCTTTTTTGTGTCCTCAAACCTCTGCACTCCATTGAAGAGGAGGACTGAGGACAGGTTGGGCTCTTTTCCTGGAAGTTCTGGTCTGAGATGAAGTCTGGGGAACAGAAGCCCTCCACCCAAGGACTCAGGATTAGCAGGTATAGAAACAACCCAGGAGAGCTGGGGAGAGTGCAGCAGTCAGTCAAGGTCGTGTTAGTCTCAGATTTGACCCAGAACAAGTTTCACTTACCCTGGCTCATGCCTAACCCTCAGTCCATCACAGGTCAGGGCCATGATCCCTCCCCAGCCCAGACATCAGGAGAGAGGGGAGTGAGGGGAGGACCCACAGAATCCAGGCTCTTACATCAGATTCTTGCCCTGGACAGGATATCCTGTATCTACTAGGCGGAAAGTGTGAGGAAGGGAGGTTAGGTGGGTGGCCTTCAGCAGTAACATGAACTACAACTCCCTCCCAATCTCGCCCCCCCCACGCCAAATTCCTCTCAGCACCTTCCCAAGAGTGGGATTAGTTAGAAGTCAGTGCGAGGAGGGGCCAGAGCTGAATTCAGGGAGAAGCTCTTTAAGGAGGTGCTGTTTGCATGTAGGATAAAT